AATTATAACTTATAAATTACTAAATTATACGATAACCTACCATGCATTATCTTGTCATTTATTATAATTAAAACCCTATACTGCCATTTATTTATCCAACTCACTAAATGATCTAAATCCTTTTGTAAATCAGTAGCATCCTCTTCACAGCTAGCAACACCCAATACCTTAATATCATTTGCAAACTTAAGTAATTTATTGACTATCCCTTCCTTTGTCATTGATGTAAATAAAAAAAGCAAAGGTCCTAAGACTGAGCCCTGAGGTACCCCACTTGTGACATTAATCCAGTTTGACCTAACCCCATTTGTAACAACCATCTGCTTTCTTCCATCCAGCCACTCTTCTGTCCAATTTGCTAACTTATTCCCCACACCTCCAGAGCTAATTTTTTTTTTACAAGCCTTTTATTGGCACCTTGTCTGAAAATCCAGATACACCAAATCTACACCCTTACCCTCATCTACATAAGCAGTAACCTTTTCAAAGAAATTTAAAAGATTTGTAAGGCAAGAATTTCCCTTAATGAAACCATGTTGATTATCCAATAAAATTCTGAACTTTGTTAAATGACTTTGCAAAGCATCTTTTAACAGACTTTCAAAAATTTTTCCCACAACTGATGTAAGACTAATGGGTCTATAATTACTAGGACAAATTTTATCACCTCCCTTCAAAAGAGGAGTTAAATTAGCTAACTTCCAATCCTCTGGTGCCTGCACACTATTCAAGGACCGACAAAAAATAGTAGCATATCCAATCCTTAACCTCCTTCAAAACCCTTGGGGAAATATTATCTGATGCAGGAGTTTTATCAATTTTTAAACTTCCCAATTTTTGCTTAACCAGCTCAGAATTAATGCAGTCATCTAGTTTGATCTCGTTTCCATTTATCAAGAGATCAAGATGTGGAATACTGCTCAAAACTTCATTTGTAAAAACCAAAGAAAAAGTAAAATTTAATAACCCAGCCTATCCCTATCCTAACATTTGTTTTTCCACTTAATGTATTTAAAGAAATCATAACTGTTAATTTTTACATTTTCAGCCAATATTTTCTCATACATCCTTTTTGATGTCCTAATTTCCTGTTTCACCAACTTTCTTGATCTATAATCTTCTAAGTCTCCTGTCATACCAGTCAATTTAAATTTCCTAAATTCTTTAATTTTATTTCTTAAACTCTTTGTGAACCAACCTGGTTTTTACTTGTAGCTACCCTTTTCTTTCTATTAGGAATATGTTTACATTGAATATTTAAAAATTTATCTTTAAAAATTTTCCACATCTGATCAGTTTCTCCAAATAACTCAGCTACCCAATTCACAACAGATAACTCATGTCACATCCCTTCAAAATTTGCTTTTTTGAAATTTATAACCAAAATATCATTATTCCTTATCTCCATAGTTCTAGTTTAAAACTTCCCTTACAGCTGAGTTAATAGCCTTAGCAAACAAGCCAGCCCCTACTCTATCTAAATGTAAACTATCCATTGCAAAAAGCTCTCTTCTCCCATTGAATTAATCCCAAAAGTCCAAACAGCCAATCTGTTCATCCTTACATACTAACCTAAGCCTAAACTTTAACCCTAATGACCTACTTATAACTTCATCCCCAGAGTTAATTCTGGGCAGTATCCCTGACAAAATTAAATTATGGCCATTTTCTTTAAGTGCCTTTATCAACCCCTTATACTTATTAATTAGCTCCTCTGACCTAACTTTCCCTATATCATTAGCCCCTACATGCACTACAAAAACTGCATTTCTGCTAGCCCCCTTGGTTATACCTCTTTCTCTGTCAGTTATATCCTCCACCTGTGCCCCTGGGTAGCATAATCTGATTATTTTCTCCCTATTTACCTCAGACTATTCTATCTACATGTCTTATCAAGGAATCACCTATAACTGTAACCTCCTTATCATCCACATCCTCCTCCTTTTCCTTACCTCCAATAGTTCCCCATCTGCAGAAGCCAAGGGCTGAAATTTGTTGCTCAACAGAATAGGCTCATTACAACTAAATTCACTACTTTTAGCCCTAACAGTACTCTTTCTAGCTTCCTTAAAATCCTTGTTAGCTGAAGTATCCCTTGCATGTAAAAGCTTAAGCTCCTCCTCGAACCCTGCTGCCATTTCCCACAATCTACACTTCTCTTTATCTATTGCATTTACTTTAATCATGATTGTCTCTAAGTTTTCCTCCAACCTACAAACTCTACATAAAAATTGTACATCTTCATTACTAGCTTCCTTAAAAGTGCATTCCAGTCCTGAGTTCCCAAATAAAACCCACTACTTGCACCCATTACACCTAACAAGCTGGTATTATACCTTACTCAATTTCTTAATTTAAAAGTAAATATAAAAAAAATACAGTTAAACATCGATTTTTATGTGTCACGTGGTATGTTGAATACAGCACTGGTTCAAATTAGATGTTTGTGAAGTTAAAATACTAAGTCTACAGTATTGTACGAATTAGGAACTCAAATTACCGATATTGACAACCTAGAATATAAAATAAGAACCTCTTATCTTTTTAATTAAAATATTGCTCATGTAATAAATCAAACACAATGGCACCAAACCCACCTCTTTCCATTTCTGGAAATGCTTCCTTATATACACTTACTTCTATATATGACATGAATAACCTAAAAAAATGATTCATTTCATATCCTCCACATGCAAAATTTTAAAAGGCTCAGCAACCTAAGTCAAGCAGCAATTGAGTACAAAGGTCATAACTAGAAGAGATAATTGTTTGCTTTACTTCTTTATTTACTGTTCTATGTTTTAGGTAAATATGTTTAAGAATTTATTTGTAAATAGCAATAATCTATATACATATATAATGTATAATAATTGAAATGTGACTGTATTTTACAAAATACTCCTCTACTAAAACACTGCCAAGACAAGTCACTTTGTAAAGACCAAAGGTCAGTTTTATGTTACTTGATATGGTAACATGAGTGCACGTGCGCCACATCATTGTAACTTCCATATTGTTAGCCAGGCATGGCTGAAAAGTCAATATAATAAAAATAATAAATATATATATTAACGTATAATGCTATGAGATCTAAGCTATTTAGTCTCAACATTTAT